ACAGATTTGTCAGACATTTGCCTTCTGGCCATGGCAACAGGCACACACACTCCAACACAGACCATCTGGCAAACATTTGCAGTTGTCAACAGTGTGTGTGCGTGGTGCAAATTCTCGCCCGTAAACAAAATCAGTCAGGAGCAAGGAGCCAGCTTGTACGAACCACATACCATATATGTGAGTATGTACGTATATGGAAGCTCTTTGTGTGCGTGGCTGCTTCCGTTGCCCTCAGAGCTAATAAAAGTTTGGCATAATGCATTTGTCGAACATCAGACATCGCCCCAGGGCAACTAATTTGGTCCGAACCATTGTTGATTACATGCCAACTTTAATGATCTGACTATTGGATGCTGGAAGACTCATACCTATGTAATACATATATACAAGTCAATTAGGGCCATCGTGTGCTTGCTCAAGTGCAATAATTAGCCCATGGGCCGCAAGACGGTCACTTGAATTGAATTATGGCTGGGAGTCTCTACTCACCATGCATATCAACATGACAGATACTAGACACTTTAATTCGAGAATCAAATCCCCACGGATGACCTGTTGTCGAGTCGCACCTTGGGACAACCAGTTTCGGCTCACTGATTTATGGCAGACGTTGTGTAAATATGCAGAGGCATAACCTGTTTTCGTCCTAATGAGCAGGCATAAATTACAGAAGACCGAAACGGGTTCTCCTCCTCTCTGCGAGCGATAAGCACCAAATCTCACTTAGCCTGGTCTACTTTTTTGTTTATTTTACTGCACGAGACAGGTAATACTCTAAACAAATGGGTTACCCTAACATATCAAAGTCTGTCACAGCATTTGTCCTTGCTAGCGAGTTAAGGTATATCACATTCGATCCAAAGAAAGGATAAGGCTGGTTTCCAGGAAGTAACCGAATCGCTCTGAAATTACAGTCTCCCAGATCTGTGTCTGGATATTCTGGGGGTGAGCCCCCGCGACAACTTGAGACACTTTTGCGAACCAAACACCGTTGGCACACAAAAAAAAAACACAAAAACAGGACAAGCGGCACAAACCAGAAAAAAAAGGAGAGAACAAGGATCCCCCCAGTAACGGGACGACAAGAGTTATTTTGTATGGAAAGTATCGCATATCAGCAGACGACAAGGACAAGGACAACGCTGGGAGCCAGGAGCTAGGACCCAGGACCCAGGAGCCAGGAGCTGGGACAAGAACTCAGCCATTGTTTGAATGTAATGTTGCGCCGCATTTTCGTGCTGCTGCAGAACGCATTTATTGAAGATTTACAGCGGCAACTTGCAGACAAACAACTAGAAATACAGCAGAAGGAGCCACTGGAGCAGGAGCAGGAACATCAGAGGCAGGAACAGGAGCAGCAACATTTTGTGCGCCTTTTGGCATTCAAGCAACTTACATATTTTGTTCGTGCTTTTGTTTCCCAACAATCCCCCCGCAGGCTACATAATTTCATTTCATGCAAAGGGTGCTTGTACCTAAAAAATGTGTATTTAATTATTTAATATCCTTTTTTAGTGAAATACTCTTAAGCTTTGAATAGAAGATTGTCTTTTAATGAATTATCTCGTAGAATGTGAAATAGGATCTATAGTTTTTCGCCGTGTATGATGCCAGAGAACCTGGGAATGCGTGACTCCTGTGATGCTGACAGGCAAAACTTTTGCAGTTATGTCCGCAACAGGAAGGAATAAGAGCAAATGCTTTAAGTACGCTTACCATTTTGTATTTGGCTGCATTTTGCGTTTGGTTGCCACTGCCTGTGCCACTGCCAGTGGCTCTGACGCACGTAGGATAAGGTTTTTGGATTCAGGGACACCGGGGCGGCAGCACAAGGACAACGACGACACACGTCACGGCAAAAGTTAAAAGTTTGCCATCAATGTTTGCATTTCAAGTTTCACTCCTGGCTGGCAGTTCATTTTGCTTCTGCCGTTCGCTGAGCACAGACGTCCTTGGCAGGATGACAGGGATCCTGGATACTGGATACTGGATACCGGAGCTCCAGCTGCAGTTTAAACGAAAATTTAATCTTGTTTTTCCTACTTTTTGGAGAAGCTAATGAAAATGCCGAGTGACAGTTGGCTTTAAAGCTCAGGGCGGGAAAGTTTAATATTTCTTACCGATAAGTGGCCAGGATGCAGTGGGTTTGAAATCTGATTTGGATTCTGTTTTCCTTTTTTCCATAAAACACTGAAGTGTATCTAATTCTTTGATATTTGAATGTTTTTCAGTCTTCGTTCTTTGGAAAAGCCACTAGAAACACAGCAATATATGTATTCAAAGGGAAACACTCGTCGTCCTTGGGCATTCAATCAGCACTTCCATTCAAAACGAGCCTGAAAGAGTTGTATCCCACATCGGAAAATCAATTGAGCTTTCTGACCACCAACGGGAGTGGGCTTAAGCCTTTGAACCCCGACCTGGCTGCCCTTTTTGCCTCGTGTGGCAGCAACTTGGCAAATTAGATAATTCTCCGGGCGAATGAACAAGCCCCAAGTGTGGCGGCAAAGTTGCTAGAAACTTCAATTCCCCGATCAGGTGCAGACTTTTGCGTTTCCCTTATTTTCTAGAATCTAGATGGTCTATGGAATGGGGTTTCTAGCAGGGGATTGTCAACTTGTTTAGCCATTGTTTGTTGTTCGTGTTGTCGGGGTGTAGTACGCACGTAAACGATGCCAAGTCGAGTATTTATTACGCGCACAACTTGACATAATTCCCTTCCTTCCGAGGACCTCTCCGAGCAACGCCAACCCCCGTGAGCGATAAGCTGATGCAGCAGTTGAACTAATGCCGTCGATATAGATTTATAACTCTGCCAGCACGTATGGTTGAGTACGTTCAATTGCCTTCATCGTGGCCTTCCTCTTGGCCATCATCCTCAGTATCAGCATCACCATGAAGGAAATGTATTTATTGAAGGCGACAGGGAGGAAGAGAACAAGTTGTGACTTAACAACCTCATCAGCTGGCAGCGCACTTAGTTTGGCTGACAGCAGCCTATATAATATCCATTCGGGTGTGTGTGTCCTGGCGCAATGAGATTTCTTAGCGCATTAGGCAGCCGTATCAACGGGAAACAGTAGCAACAACAAATAAACACCATTAGCAGCCAGCAGCCAACAAACTGTAAGCCAAAATGGCGCCATCAACGCGAAAATAATACGGAAAATGCGGCGTTAATGGCAGCTCGGTCTGACAGAGATGGAAGAAAGCTGAAAAGAGCAAGCATGTGAAAGCAAACGATGTTATGATTATGATTATTATGTTGCTATTAGATTAAGAGCAATTTTAACTTTTTCCTCTAGCTGACAAAGGCCTTCAGCTAGTCCCCCCTTTTATACTCTCTGATTTTCCGTTCTTGACTTTCTTTATATTTTCGTGCGTCAACGCCTTTGGCTTACGACACTTGACGCCCAGCCCCAGGAAACCCCCAAAGACTCACCCAGGAAACCCTCACCCCCACCTACAGGGAGAGTTAGTCCTTCATTGTTTCTAGCCGGGTCTTAGCCACGCTTAATTGGTTGGCTTTTATTACTTGGCAAGTGCTGCAAGCGCATAATTTGCCCCGACAAAGGACAGTGGGCCAACTGGAAGATTACGAAAATTTTATGGGCGGATTAACAGGCTCCTGGTCCTGGCTGGAGAGCACGAATCGGGGAAGATCAATCGATTAAAATAAGTTCGAAACTGCCAGGCCAAGCAGGATAAAAAGTTTCAAACTTGCAACAGAGAGGAAGCAGCTCGCTAGTGGAGGTAATAGTGGGATGTATTACTTACCACATTACCTTAAAAACACCTTACAAGTCTAGAGATTCTTATTTATCTACTTGCCACGCTTTTATTTTCTTTCTTCTGGGTGCGTGAACGGAGAAATCTTTTTTTAATTAAATAAGCATCCGTGGGTGGCGCGGAAGGGGCAGCACCGGCACCGGCACCGGCACCGGAGTCATGCTGGCTGGGATGCCTGTGCCAGCTCACTTCGCACCTCCGCCATCGGGCCACCACCCACCGGGCGGCATGCCTTTGGTAGTTTGCGGCGCCATTTTAGCGCGAAATGAATTTAAATTGTTTGCCGGCGCTTCCTGCATTAAGGGCAGCTTCCTTTTGAAGAGCCGAGACCTGCCGTCTGCCGTTTGCTGTTTCTTGGCCTTCGAAGAAGCAAAAACGAAATTACTTAATTACAACAATTATTATATGGAACGGTTTTAAAACTTCTTGTTAAAAGGAGAGCCCTTTTGGTGGGAGGGAGTGCCTGGAGTTGGTATTTCCGGTAGCTGCCTGCCTGCTACTGCCGCTGCTAGCGATCTTTTGTTGCTATTGTCTGTTAATTTAATTAAATATTTTCACACCTTCAACCTCCGCCAGACATTCATGGCCTTTGTCTAGGAATTTTAGGTGTTAATTTCCTGTCTCTAGAAGCGCAAAAAAAAACGAGGAAAAACAGGAGCCAGTGCAGCGAGTCGGCTCTAATAAAAATAATTTCCATGGCCCGGAAAAGATGCAACAGCAGCCGGGAAAATTACAAGGCACGAAGGACCCAGTTTTATGCTTCTGAAAATTGCATGCGAAATAATTGAAAAGCATCGACTGCAGCTTTGTCCAGCCGCTTTGCTCCAAGGACCTGGGTCCTTCTCGCCTCCTTCGGGTAGATAAAGTTTCTCGCTGCCCCGAAATAATAGCATCCAAAGTGGTTGTAAATATTTTGTGTCCCGCCGACATTCGCTGGGAGCTTCTTCTCTTCGCCGCAGCGTGACAAAATGCTGCGAAAAGTCATTTTTCAGCTAAATGAATTTGCGCCAACTGCGCAAAAAACAACGTCTGAACACCCGAAAAAAAAATTATAAAAAATAACGGGGGAAAATGGGGAGGGCCCAAGGAAATGGCTTTGTCACTGGTCCTGCATCCTGTGGGTCAGCGGCGAGTTCAATGGGCAACTAATGAGGCGACCTTAAGATTGCTTTTTCACAACTAACTCACGGTAAACTTTTCATTCATTGCAGGTCCTCCGGGTCCACCAGGACCACCCGGAAAACGCGGCAAGCGCGGCAAGAAGGGCGATGCCGGCGACAAGGGCGAACCGGTAAGTGGCAGCCGAAATCTGGTTGAAAACTGGACCGGAAGTTGAGTCCATATGCTGCGAGAAACTATCCACAATTTTTTGATAAAAATACACAAAGGATTTTATTTTATAAAATATAAAAAATATGTTACATTTAAGCCAGAAGTTTTTAGTTTAAGACCCTTTTTGGCAAACTATTTTTTTTTTTTTATCTCTGCAGGGCCTGAATGGCATCAGTGGTGAGAAGGGAGCGGCGGGCAAGCCCGGGGACAAGGGCCAAAAGGGCGACACCGGACACCCCGGAATGGATGTCTTCCAAACGGTGAAGGTAAGTTGGAGTTTCCGTTTCCGCTCCCATTTTCCTCGATATACCGCAACGGCTGCTGCAATTCTTGGCTCCAAATTAAATAGAGTCTGACTGGATCTAAATTGCTTTTGCATTCCTAGGGTCTGAAGAGATCGGTGACAACGCTGCATGGCGGCACGCTGGGCTATGCGGAAATAGTTGCTGTTAAGGTATTGCCACCACCACCCACTAATCTTCTTATTTTAGCCCGTTGCTACCGTACCATTTCTAGACCATAGTGGACCAAGTGGACATGGTCAAGACCATTTTTCAGAGGCCAAATGCAGATGGCCGAGGGATGGCAGCCAGTATGCAACAAATTATTTGCAACTTGTTGTCCTTGGCTGCTCTAGTATTTGTCCTTTGGGCGTCCCGGTCCTTGTAGCTTGTAGCTGGTAGCTGGTAGCTTGTAGTCTTCTATCTGTACTTATACTTGTAGTTGTGTTTATTGTCTCGCTTCATTCTCGTTTGTAATGCTTTTAAGTTGTCGCCTGTCGGCTGTCGTCTGCCTTGGCTCTTTTGTTTAAACTGCACCATAAATTCGTTGCAACATCGTAGTTTTGTGGACTTGCCCCCCTTTCCCTTTTATATGTATCGCTGGGGGGCAGTGGCAACTTTTGGGACTTTCGTTTCGCAGATCCCCGGGTACTTTTTAATGGAATTTTCATCCAATTTATTTTCGTAGTTTTCAGTTTTGTAGTTTCCCTTTAAAAACACTTAATTTGGTTTAACGGCAGCTGGTTTATTTTGCTTTTCATTTGCCTAATCCCGCTTCTTGCAGCAGCTGAACTAACAATTATGTTTGGCTGTTAATTAGCCACAATGTATTTCTTTTAACCAACCTTTTGTTTTTAACCCGTTTTGATTTTTAATATTTTTTATGGTTCGTTTGCGTTGTTACTTTGGTTTGTTTCGGGGCTGTTAGGACTTGCAAGAAGCCGGCGTCAATGTATCCGCTTCCACAGTCATACAGCTGAAGGTAAGTTTATTTTGGCCTACTCCTTTTGTTCCCAGCATGTCCTGCATATAGTTTATGTCCTGCACGTGCCCCGGACTTGGTCAACTCCATGGGAGATCCTAAGCTAATAAACGTGTTTCCTCATACCAACAGGGAGAGCCCGGCGAGCCGGGTCCGCCGGGACCACCGGGCGAGGCGGGACAGCCAGGAGCGCCGGGAGAGCGGGGAGCACCCGGCGAGGCCGGAGCACCAGGACTGCAAGGCGAGGCTGGGCAGCCAGGACCCGTTGGACCGCCCGGCGTGGCGGGCGCACCTGGCACGAAGGTGAGTAAGACTGCGGTGATTCACCGAAAAACCAATAATGAAAATCCGAAACAAAGGGCTCTGGTAAGCCAGTGATGGAACGTAATACCTGCGTAACTAAGAACTGGCTTATAGCGAAGGCTTACATACTATAGCCATTGTTTTCCAAAAACAAATTTCTGAATAAACTGAAAATGAAACTTCATAACAATGGCAGTTTATAGTACAAATTGTACAAGAGTTTCCTTAAGATCTATAATCAAAGCATTATTGGAAAGGTACCCTAGCTACGCAGGTACTTCATCACTGGAGATAGGAGTGCCCAACCGACAAGGGAGGAAGGAAAGGAAGATGTCACCAGGATTAATGCATTATTTGTATCTGTTGGATAAACACGGCGACGTTTTAAGTGACTGTCAGTGATTCGCCTTCATCCTGTCTGTCTGTCTGGCTGACCGACCTACCGCCTGTGTGTCCGTCCGCCTTTGTTCTCTCGATTTTCCCATTTTCTTTATGGCGTGCCCTTTTCAGTTTCGGATTTTCCACAATACGACTATTTATCGTTTATTTATGCATTCGGGGATGTGAGTTTTCCTCTTAATTTTCACAATGACTCATTCGCAGGGCGACAAGGGTGATCGGGGCGATCGAGGACTAACCACAACCATCAAGGGTGACGAGTTCCCCACGGGCATCATCGAGGGTCCGCCGGGACCGCCCGGACCACCAGGTAAGTGCCAGTTTGTTTGTGCTAGCATCATCCAACAGCCACTTAAATCTTAGATACAAAGATACACAGATACGCAGATACACATGGATTCGGGGCACCGATCGATGAGGTTTTCAAGTGTTGCCACGCGGCTGCGGGTCGTCTAATTTATTGTCATCTATCCTAACACTTGGAAGTCCCCCACCCACTACCGACTGCAACACCCTCATCTAATTGAGCCATCGACTAGCGTGGCCTGTGTCCCATTAGTTTGGCCCTTTGATTTGAGCCATTTAGATATTTTTGGTTGGCGGCTTGTTTAAATGGAAATCCGACTGGCAGAGGGCGACTTCCCAGGCCCGATTTTGATGGGCCGATTTACACATTTTTTAAATATTTCCCCCTGAAGCCAATACCATATTTGGAAATTTTCAAATTTCATTCGGCGCTATTGCATTTCGCGATAACATTTACGACCTTTTGCCTCCTCGGACATTGCCGTCAATTAAACTCGCACAAAAATTTGTGGGGCGACCCCAACCAAAAGGAAAAACATCTCACGCCCACAAGCAACAATAGAATTTCCATTTATTTGGTTCGGATTTTCGGGTTTTATGGGCTTGGCCCCAACACATTTCTGCACTTTATTCGATTTTAATACACGAGAATAGCCCAGAAAACATGCCATTCGAAAATAGTTGAAACGCTAAAGAATCAAATACAAATACAATTCCGGTCGGTGATCACATAAAAATTTGTAGACCCCGGGAACTCTCGAAACTCTGACCGGCAGTCGTAAAAATGCAACTTTATGTCATTTATGTTGCTTTTAGCGGCTCATTAGCATGACTACCATTGGTTTGGAGTACAACACTATTTGGAAGCGATGTTACAGTGAGTCCCAAAAAAAAAACCAGAAAAGAGTCGGTGGGACAGCTTGTACTATTGTTTTTAGTAGGGGCACTCAGTGGGCGCAATAAATGGATTGGATGGATGGATTGATGGGCCATAAATGTCGCTTGGATGAGTCCCGGGCGACACTGGATACTCCTTTTGACCAATTGATGGATTGCGGATTAATGGTGTTGATGATCCATTCTCCGATCCAAGTTTACTTTTATTGGAAGAATAGAATTTTAATTTAATTTTCACTGCAGCCTGTAAGCTGGCTTTCCAAAACATTAAATGGCCATTTACCAAATTAATGGCTTTCATTTTTAACAGTGTTGCTGAAGCTTGATTTTATTAATCAAAAAACATTTTCATTTGATTATTTTGGTAATTAACTTTCAGTACTGGGGTTCTGTGGGAATTATTCAGTTCGATTTGGCTACTTTAAAGTTTGAAATTCAATTGATGGAGTGCCCCTACTAGAGTCGAGCGTTCGTTAGGCCATCAATTAAGCGCTTTGCTGCGGTTTGTGCAACCAGCATCATTACAAGGGCTCCGCCCCAAGCCCCATGTCTGTACCCCCTCATCGCTTGACTTATCAGTGGTGTGGCATCAAAGTGCTTACGATGTTGCAGTTGCATTCGATGCGATTGTGTGATTGCGATGACGGTGCTCGTGTCGCCGCCCATTGTTTCTGGATTTCTTTCTGGGTTCTGCCCTCCACAACAAGATCTGATGCCGCGATAGCTGTTGCCAGTTGCTGTTGCAGCACTTTTTGGCGGCACTCGCTGGTGCTGCTGGTGTTGCTGCAGCACTAATGCAGCATTCGATTACTTCCTGTCCAAGGCCTGTTCTATCCCGGTTTTGAACTCTCCCTGGTGCGTTGATGGACATGAAATTGCAATTTATTTTTCCCGAAAATCAGCGACAAGAGACCGACAAACGGCCCCGTCGCCAGGGGATCATCAGGGCTTGATTTGAATAAATGGAATGTCATTTGTATCCGGGACTTGGGATTCCTTGCGCCTGCTCTCGTCAGCTTATCTTATCGTTCCCGTAATTAGTTAAGCTGCCCAGGGCTTTCAGAGACCACCACCGCCTCCGCCTTGGATTGAATGTGTCATTTGTAGTCTGTCACTGGGGGCGGTGGTTGGTCCGTAGTCCGTAGCACACACAAGTCCGTAAAATGACGGTCCAGCACGTCGGGACCAGAGTTAGTCCCAAAATCTCAGCAAAAACAAAAGACTGACCAGTCAGGCGGCTGTCCCAGCTGTAATATCAAAAAATTCAATTTATTTCATGATTTATTTGAATTTCATTTCATTGGGTTTTTGGTTGATTGCATTTGTTTCTTCGGCCAGCTTCCGTTCTATGAAATTAAAACTTATCTTATGCATTTCATCTGCCAGTGTCCTGTTTCTGGCCAAAATAACAACAACTGGCAACTGGCAATCCAATATCCTGGACACTATAAATCCCGAAACTGCTCTCAGCTTCTCTATGCGGATTTAGTTTTTATTCCATTTTGCAATTGTCGCCTAAAATGCTTAACGGTAAATTATGCCAACATAAATAGAGAACTTTAGGCCAAAGGACATACGGGGGGAGTACAAAAAGGACAAAGCCGGCAGACAAATGCTTTATAAACAAATGGAAAGCGGCAGTCTGAACTGGTCTGGTCTGGGCTGGCAAATTTATGCTCTTCGCAGGACGAGGACGCAATTTTACGAACTTAATAAATTTTCTATATCTTTTCGCCAGTGCCAGTGGCAGGACATACACAGGGCAGAACAGAGCATAGCCCGTTTTGACAAGCCGCACAATTGGATTTATCTATGATGCTAGTAGGGCTACTCAGCCACCCAACCATCCTGCCACCCACTTGATTCCTGTGCAAATGGTCTCATTTAATGGTCCTGGCAAATAGCCCTGGCCTTCGCCCTGGCTCTGGCTCTGGCTCTGGAACTGGCCAACAAGAAAAAACCAACGCAATTTCTCATTATTCTAACTAAACAGGTTGTTTGTTCCCCCCTGCCCTCGAACAGTGGGCCAAAGTCAATTTGGCCCTGATGGATTTATGAGCCGCATCGACATGCTTTCGGCCATTATCGTTGTCAGCGGCTAAGAGACAATGCCCACAAATTGAGTGAAGACGAGCCGGGCTTTTAGCGGTGGCGGTTGGGCCAACAAATTGGATTGAATTCTCGGCCTCAGAATGCAGATTCGATTTCTGCTCCGGTTGAGCGGGAAAATAAATCCTGCTGTTGCAGCTGCCAACGAAAGTGCAACTTATGCATATTAAATTGTTATTCTGCATCTATTGGAATGGCTTTTAAGGGCATTGTTCATTTGGTTCTCTAAGTGGGTCAAATCGTTGCCATCATTAGCATTAGACCACAAGCCTGGGTCCAGAGCCTTGAACTACATAGTTGCCATTGATTCGCAACCACTGTGGACTCGGCTCTGGGCCTTCAGTTTCCCGCAAATAAACAATTTGCATTCCCAACTAAGCCCCTGCCATCGTTAACCCATCAAGAGCTGTCCCTCTAACAAATTGCTGGCCAAAAACCAACAAATAACGAGCTCTATAATTACAAAAGGCCACGCCCACTGTTTGGACAACACTTGCGGGCGTCAGTATCTATCTATCTGTGAGTCTGTGTATCTGTACATATCCATGGCATTGTTTTTGTTCGCATTTTGAAATCTGTCGCTGAAATTAACATTTTTGTACACACAGGTCCGCCCGGAGAGCCCGGCGAACGAGGCGAGGCGGGAGCCACTGGACCCGCCGGACCGCCCGGCGAAAAAGGACCGCGCGGCAAACGCGGCAAGCGGGTGAGTAACCATTGGAAAGATACCGATAAAAAAAATCCCCAAAACCGAACCCAAACCTGATTCCACTCGATTTTTAATTAGAAGCTCGACCAGCCAGCGCAGGCTGTAAATTGAGTTCGAGAAGCACAAGAAGTGTATTATCATGTAAATTACTTTTGTAAAAATGTGCGTGGGCGTGTGCGTTAATTTTATGCTAATCTGTACATACAAGGGCTATGCCAGAGGGAGGAGGGTATTTGTACATACGACGTGGGGACCACGCCCTCCTCAAACTTATCCTTCCGCATGGAATCACCTGCATGCTGGATGTCTGTGTAATGAGCATGTTTACACGACTCCGGGAACGTGCTACTTAACTCATTACAGCAACCTCGTAGATACGCATCAAGTATCTTACGGTGTACATATTTCGCGGAGCACAACTTTGACAAGCTGCCAAAAAGCACTATCTTTGACGAATAGAATAGAGCAACGCCAGCAAAGCATCCAAGTATCTGGCAGATGCTCGGCCTCCGGGCTAACTGTGTCGAAGCCCATCGATGTTGTCAAAAAATATTTTGTGCGCTCTAATCTAGAAGCTTAATTTATGGCGCCAACCATCCATGCGTCTAGTATCTACGCATCTACTGGGTGCTGGAATGTCAACAGTGCAAAGATACTTAACATTTTTATTGGCACTCGAAGTGTCGGCAGCTGTTCCCACCCCCCGACGTGTTGATGGATGCACGGATCTCTGGGCATTGGTGGAATTTTCATTTTATTTTCCTTTTCTTTCAGGAGGGTATGGGGATGGTTTTTATACCATATTTTTTGTTCTTTTTGGATTTTTGCGCATCTTGTCGGCCGGAGGCATACACTCGTACATATATGAATATGTAGCCCAGCACGTGCTTGTGTAAGTTATGAAAAATGCATAAGCGCCGCCAGCGAAGCTGCTAACGCCACGGATGAGTTTCCTTGGATGCCGCTGACTTGGTTAGGGGTTCTCGGCCCGGTGGCTCGGTGGCCCGGGTCGACCGGGTCTGGACGGGTGTATTGATATGTGTATCTACATATATATTATGCTGCTCAACCAGTGTGCAAACATTTGCGCATTTTGCCCATTTTCACGTAGCCACGCCAAGGGGCTGGCTAAAAAACAAAACACATACTGTGCACATACTGATTATTGTGCAGCACATACTATGCCACACTCACAACAATCGGTGGCGAAGGCAAAGTCAAAGTCATGGCGGTGTTGTTGTTGCTGTAATAACGCGTAATAATGCCAGAATGAAATAAGATGAAAAAAAAGAAGGCCCAAACCAACTTCCAATATGCCCAGCAGCGAAACAACAAACAGAAAACGGCAACGTGCAGTTCTTCTTTTATGGCTCCAGCGAGGGGAGCTAGTAGGAACGCTTAATGCCCAGAAATTGTTCAGATTTTTTCATCCTCTTGCCTATAAATATTTAAAAATGGAAGATCCATCAATTCACAGACTCACAGTCTCTTGTGTTAAAAATGCACACCCCTATTTTGATGACATATTGCACAACATGAAAGGAGAAATGCCAACTTTTTGGAATGCAGAAATAATAAATAAAACCACAGGCATCACAACAAATTGCATAAAATATTTGAGATTTACCCGTAGAATTCCCCACTCTATGTTAGACCCAAAAATTCATAGTACAAATTTTATTCGTTGATGAAATTTAAAATGTATTGTTTGAATTTTGATGGATTTTTAGCCAAAAATTTGTTGAAATAAAATACTACAATACTGATGTGAAGTACTTCTTAAAGCCAGCAATGGAAATTTCATAAAATTTTCAACACATTTCTCAAAAATCGATTATTTTATTGTGTGATGGATTCTTCTTTTAACTTTTATGAAGCTTTTAAGGCAATAATTTTCCCCTTAAACAACAAAAGCAAATTTGACATGAATTCAGGCATTAAAACCAATTAAAAAAGGCTCACCTGGAGTAGCCGACTTGTGGCCATAAATTTTCTTTGCAATTATTGCTTTAAATTCATTGGAAATGAATTATTTTCCGATAGGAAGAAAACTCTTGCAGGAGGGGAGATTATTTTGCATTTCCTGGGAAACTTTTCGATCGTTCCTCTTGACTTGCTGCTGGCTGGGCTTTCTTTCCTTTTCCAATATGCCGATTATGCTGCACCCCAGATATCCCCAGCCTTCTGGGGTTTTGTGGGAATCCCCGGCACTGCAGCAACGTGATGTCAAAACAAATGAAAGTCATAAGAAACGACAGGCTGCGGCAGGCTGCTTCTGCTTCTGCCCCTGGGCTTTCTTTGGCAAACAAACAAAACTTTTGGCAACAAACAAACCGGAGGGGAGCACAACAACAAAAAAAAATATTGTATCTATATTCGCACCCATGCGCCGCACCGCAGGCAGTGCAGAGCATAAAAAATTATTTGCAACAATTGCCGTCATCTACTGTTGAAACGTGACGCCTTCCAGGCAGCAAGTTCAGAGAGTTTCGATTCGATTTTCTCTCCAAAAACATTAAACATTGAGGCCTCCCAATGCGATGTCGCTGGATTATAATGAGTCTGTGGAGTTGGGAAAGTCTGGCTGTGAAATGGCTGGGGAATGCAATGCAAAAACATACTAGATATAATCCCCACGGAGAACAATTCGAAATTGGGGCTAACTGGGGAAGTAGCCATAATTAGTTCGGCAAATCGTAAAAAATGCCCAAATTGCTGGCGTGCTATTTTCGAAAACATTTATCCACCCGTAGGCAGAACAGCATCTGGCTATGGGTATGTCTATGGTTCTGGCCAAAACCATTTCCTCCTTCCAATTTTTTCCGACTTTTTTTGTGGGGTTATTGCCTAGCCGTCGGCGTCATAAAAAAGGCATAACGCAATTGTTGGCATTATAAATTTGACATGTTATTTTCGTCGCCTCGTCAGAGCCAACTGGGGGAAGACCGGGGCCGAGGATGATGATGGGTTGGAGCATATGAAATGGATGTGATGTGTGCAGTGAGGCGTGAGGCTAGGAGGATGGCCTATACCCTGTCATAGCACATTTAGAAATAGGGCACAATTAAGCCAGGTGACAACTGAAATTTCAAACTAAGTCTGTCACCGAAATGTCCATAAATAACCGACATCGTAATCAACTCTTTGAGAGAAGGGTATTCAGAAATAGACTAAACCACATAGTATGTACATTCCATATGATATTTACGATCGGGAATCATATTTAAAATTTAAATTAATTTGAAAGAGTCTCTGGTGAGTGGAATTTTCCATTTATTAGAGCTCTGTGATGGCTTGGGCTTAGCAGTTTTGCATTTGCACTTTCCCAGACTCTGGATTTCGGTTTAATAAAGTTGAAACGATAAGTCACCGAGGCGGGAGGGCCTCTGACAGCAATCTCGGCTCTTGGAGAAACTGTTTGTGAAGCGTTTATGTCAAATTTATGTTAATATATTTTACAATCGTTGCTCCCACACACACACCCGACCAGCCCATGTCAAGTTTGTTGTCTTTCGTTGTTTTTGGGTGTTTGGGGGCCCTCCACATCAGCATAAATTTCCCAGGACAACCAGGACAGCGAGGACAACCCGCAACCGCTTTCCTTATCTTAGCCAGGGCAAAGTTTTCCTGAGCCGGCTGCCAGCTCTAAGTAAATGGAGTCATAAAAATTGCGAAAGTCGCAAAAAACTTGTCAATTCGCTACACGTCACACGGTCTCGCCCCAAAGAATGGAAATGCGATCCCAGCAAGGACCTCGCGGAGAGCTTTCCCTTCGACGCAAATCAAAGACTTAAGGTTGCTTACATGGAAATCCGAATGGGTGGTGGTGTCTGCAGTGTCTGCAGTGTGTGTGGGTGTGTAGCCAAGTGTGTGCTTCAATGTATATCCATGTCTGCCACTCAAAGGGTTCATCTTCATCGCTGTATCTTGGCCAATTCGTTGGCAGGGGTGTTGCCTAAACGACGCAATAAGCTTAGCACTTTCACCGCCGCCGACTCCTGTACTGTTCTGTTTTTTTGTATCCTGTCTGGATGTCCTGGGCTCATTGCCTCGATTTCATTGCTTCAGCTTCACTGCCTCAGCCGAACACAATCGGGTTGACTTTTATTCTTTTTTTTTTCTGGCCGTTTGAAAGGCCCGATTTGATGGGCGCCACAAAATGGCCAACAATGCTTTTTTTTCAACCATTAGCTCTTTTTATTTTTTTGCGCTGCACATGTGTGCGTGTGTGTGACGTCATTGTTCATTGAAAAATGCGCAGCATGCAAATTTCCCTGGCCCTGGACTTTTCTTTGTGCGCAATTTTCCAATTTTCCTTGGCTGCGGCAATTATTTGCGGTCAACGTCCATATATCTTATATCCTATATTGAACGGCTCCGACGGAGCGAATGCTGGTCAAGCATGGAACACACCACAGGATATGCGTGGGCCCACCCACACACACATACACACAGGAAGTGGGGGTAGGGGAAATGTAATGTCCTGGCCCCAAGGGTGTGCGTAACTTTTATTTTATGGCCGCTGATGATGAGAGCGTTGTGGGAGTCGCAAAAACGATTGAATAAAGAAATCCTGGCTCACCCACATACACGCACGCAAGATTGGCGACAATGCCCTGACCCAAGGACCCCCAGCCCTCAGCCTCCCTCTCCGGGATCCTGCCCCTGCCCCGCCCCCAAGTTAGCCAACCTCATAGAAATTTATAGGCACGCGTGTTACACTGACGTGGGTTTGAGGTTGCCAACGCATTTAGATTTTGGATGGGGGAACTTTCGGGTGTTGGGGCTTTACAAGGGGGCTTCCAAGAGCAGGGGGAGTCTCGGCTCGGAAAAGAGAATGGAAACGAGTCTGGGCGGCTGTGCATGCGAAAGTAGCAAAATTATACAAAACGAACGCGCTTTTCCACAAAACCCACAACCAACCGCACAAATGCCAACTGCTGCCATCTTGGCATTGATGTGCCACCGTTGTTCTTCAGGCAAAAACGACGAAATCTTTAACAACGATTTCCCTAAATACTTCCGAATTTCATACATATTACAATATCACGGCAGCCAGAGCCGGAGCAACCACAGGGCTACGGCTACACATTGTTGTTTCGAGGGTGAAACGAAATCACGCGAAATTTTTTTACAACTGGAGTCCTGGCTTGTTTCCTTATTCTTTTGTGGTCTGGAACAGTGGTTGCTAGGAGAGATATATTTCAGATTTTAGATGGTCTTAGAATTTTATTATAGAAATATGATATTAGGTTGAGAAACTTTGAACCACCATTAAGATACATATTTAGAAGAGTAAGCCTTTGAGTTCAGAGCCACTTTTATCCCTTAAAGTAAAAACTATTTCAAAAAATACATTGAAAAATCGAACCCCTTCTTCTCGTAGGGAACTCGTAATCATATCTTCTATGTTGCATTTGAAATTACCCATTCTATGTTTGGAACTTTTATATTCCAAATCGAATTCTTCCCAGACCTCCCCTCGGTAAAGGCGGTTTGTAGCGGAAAAATTCCACATATTGTTTATAGATCCGCTGACTTTATGGCCAATCTAGCCCATTGTAATCAGTATCAATGCGAAGCGGAAAATATTACGAATTTAATGCGCTCGCGTAGTTGCGAGGAACTTCCTGGTTCGCGAGGAGCACCCGCGACCCTCGAATGTTTTGTAAACTTTTGCGGCAACGCATTACACGCCATGAAGTGCCGGGATCTTGGCTGAGCGTGTATTTGTATGGGTATCTCTGTATGTGTGGGCATAAACGTATGCGTGTGAGCCGGAAACGGGCTGCAAAACTTTCACCTCCAGCGTTTTGGTGCGCTTTTCTTTTTTTTTTGTCCAAGTCCTCCACGTTGTTGTTATGACCGGAGAAAAATATGAAATTTCAAAAGAGGAAACCTGCCGGGGAAAATGAAAAATTGTGAAAAATATGCGCATACGCTAGTAAGGGGAGGGTAGGGGGTGGCCTGAGGGGTCACATGGTGTACTTGAGGGCAAATGGCGCTTCTCCTTTATGGACGTTCTCTTCTCTTTTTCACACCCACCAGTGACATCCGCCAAAGGTCGCGTCGAGATCAAAATGATTTTCAATTTAACGCGTTTACGTGCGTCCATTTGTCTGAGGCCCTCTGTCTCCGGGTCTCCGGGTATCCAGCTATCCGGCTCTCCAGCTGGGAGCTTTAAATGGAAACTACGCCGGACGCATACCGAAAACATCAGGCGAACGGACGGACGGACAGACGGTGGGGCAATTAATTTACAATTACAGTCGAAAGGATGAGGCAGACAGGATGGTGGGGCACTAAAACATCAAGAGGAAAAAACAGGAAAAACAACACGATTGGGAAAATTTCATTTGCTTCGTCATTTGTGCGTTAAATTGAAAGGCGTTTGTGCAAATATTTTCAATATTTACGCATAATTTAAGAGACAGTCCTCAGTGAGGAGTAAGGAGTGGGCTGCGACTGGGGGAGGAGGGCTCCGATGGATACATTGAAAATTAAATTCAACCCGAGGCGTTCGCTCGCACAAATATTGATACATTCTAATGGATTTCCTTGCACACACACACACTCAGTCACACACAGTCACACACGCCCCTAGAACTGCTACTGCTACACCCACGCAATCTGATTGGGATTTAGGCTGCCGAAAAGGCAGAGCCAGAATCGGTTTCTTTTATTTTGGATTCTCGATTCAGGATGCTGGACTTTTTTTTTATCGTAGTTAGGCAGCTGCGCCAACAATCGTCCTTGCGATCCTTACAAACATTTGCCCAATTCACTTGCTCGCTCGCATCTGTAACTGTATCTTTTATTTATGTTATTTATCGTATCTTCCGAATGCCTCTGCCACTGCCACTGCTACTGCTTGGCTTTAAAAGCCTTTAAACCCCAAGCTGTCTTTTTTTGTAGCCCTGTTTGGCTTGCGTTTGTTTATCAACTTTCCAGAAGGAGGATGCAGGCAGACCGGCATGTGGGCACTAAGCCCTCAAAGTGACCTTTAATTACAGCAGAAGGCAAACGTTAGGCACTCGGCTTTAATTCAAATCGCTTTAATTGCTCTACAAATGGCCACCGGGAAGAATTCCCCATTGCGCATTAGGAACAATGGGGGAAAAGTTCGCAACAAAGCGCCCACCGAGCCAGGATACTTCTTCCTTCCACCCAGCCGCACAAAGGAGCATGTGTGCTAGTGCGCTAGTGTGTGTGTGGATCGGCAGACACCTGCTTCTCAGGAGCCCCATGCAGATGAGCTAAAAAGAAAGGAAGCCCAAAGAGGTAAAAAGTTGAAATTGGGAAGTGCATTTGTGGCAAGCCAGGACTTGGGTACTCCGGCCTCCTTATGCCGTGTGTGCGCATTCCTCCCGCTTGTCTTTTGTCCTTCACATATGCCAAGCCACATCCTTTCCGTATAAGTGTGCGTTAAGCGCTTACATTGTTATCCTTTCCGCCGATGCTGTTGTGCTTATTGTTGCTGCTGTTGCCGGGTTTTAATAACTGTAAGTACGCCACTTCCTGTGACAACGGGACGGAACGGGCCGTGGCACAAAGTAGAAGTAAATGTAATTGTTGCACATGCCTGGGCATGCCGCAAGGAAATTACACCCGCTCTTCCCCCGTACCACGTCTCCTGCCACTCGTGCCACACAGATATTGCCAGAGTCTCAGTCACAGGAGTCGCAACAGTCACAGGATCAATTGCATTGCATAATAATCGAGTGTAACACACACACTCTGCCCCCCCCCCCAATCGAGAGGGCCAAACGGATGCGTTCAATCCGATTGCCTCTGTCTTAGTCCTGGACCAGAGTCCTGGCATCCTGGGAGCCCTTCTTGCCTTTAATTCCAGCAAGGACACGGCTTTAATGTTCCGGGATGTATTCCCAGCTCGATTTGCCAGAATGCGATTGAATATTTTGCACTCTTCGTCGAATCTCTTGATTCGAGTGTCCCTATTCACTTGAGCCACATGTGTAAATGGCTTTTCCTATTTTCCTTTATTTTCTGGGAGCTCCCCAGTCTTTCCAAAGCTTCTTGGCATGATGTTGTTTTTGTTATAAAGTCGGATTGCTGTTGTTGTTGGCATTGCAACGTAGAGTCGTTGTTTTTTTGCCCACCGGAGTTGGCTTTTATGTCGTTCAACATTTGCCTAATAGAGGGTTTTTGTTTAGGCCTTGGCTGCACTGCGGTCTAAAGGACTCAAAGCCAACATGCCCGCCACAGCCATTTCTGGTAATCATCGAAAGCACTGGGGAGTAAGGTGGTTTAATTAAATTATAATATTTTTTACCACGGCGTACACTTGAAACTCTGCTTTAAAAAGAGATTTGAAAAATATATATATTTTTTCTTAATCTTAAAAAAATGTTCTCTTATTTTAAGCGACTATAATCTTGTTTCAAAGCTTTTAGCCTCTGCACTCTTAGGAATTCAGCCATGTTTGCCCATTTTAAACCCATCGAAAGTTTAGAGTTTATGTGGTTTTGAGCTCCTTGCTATGAGAGCCCAGGAAATTTGCCTCAAAGCGCGCACATTAACCCGCCAAAAAAATGAAAGAAAAAACAATTAATTGTCTTTCGCTATGCACTCACCCACTTGTACCCACACAAACACACACGTTCGCACACAATGGCAAGGACCAAAGAGCACCCACACACATTAAAAGATATGCCATCTCGCCACATATACACTCATAGGGGTATATGTGTAGGAAAAGAGGAGCACTCGCACTGGCACTCGAAGCACGTAGAGAAGTCGCTGTCGTTGACTTGACTTTATTTTCGACTCTGGCACTCTCCTCCGCACAAAAGTGCCACGGTCTATGGTTTGGTTTTAAAGATTTTCTATGCAGCCATTGTCTCAACTGGGGGGGGTGCGGATTGGGTGGAATAGGGGGGCGCTTGGTGGCATGATGGCGTGGTGGGTCTGGTGGGTGCGTGGATGCTCCAACTTGCACTTAACACAATTTCGTGGCACACAAAAGACTTTCGCTGCGGCGCACGGCACACGGCCGCATCCCGAGCCACCACCAGAACATGCCGCATCCCCTCGAAGCCCACCCAACCCACTCCCACTCCCACTCTCGTGGGTGAACTTTTTCTTTTTGTGCGCCGCTTTTGTTTTGCCCCATCAAAGCGTGTGGAACAAGCGCGTGCAACGCCTCGGGCGGCGGTGCCACGTGGCATAAATTAATCTTCCCACTAAATTTGCCATCTCCACTTCTCCATCCATCTTTCTCCGCAACCCTTCTGCCGCACGATTTTGGATTCGCAAATTTGCACAGATATTCGGACCGGGTGGAACCAAATTGGACGACGACTATGACGATCCGCCGGTTACTCTGCTGCGTGGACCGCCAGGACCTCCGGGCGTTGCTGGCAAGGATGGACGCGACGGTCGGGACGGCGCCAAGGGAGAGGCAGGCGAACCGGGAGAACCTGGTTCGCTGGGTCCTCGCGGCCTTGACGGACTACCCGGGGAGCCGGGCATCGAGGGACCGCCGGGACTGCCAGGATACCAGGGACCGCCTGGCGAGAAGGGAGATCGCGGAGACATTGGACCGCCGGGATTGATGGGTCCTCCGGGTCTGCCGGGCCCGCCAGGATACCCGGGAGTCAAGGGCGACAAAGGCGATCGTGGTGATTCGGTGAGTACTTTTCCTTTTTTAATCCTTTTAGTTAAACTTCAATAAACAGTAAATAGTCATCAGTTCTTAAATGTTTCCTCATTAAACCTCTTATCTGACCTCACCATAACATTGAAATCCTTTTAGTACCGCAAGATGCGACGTCGCCAGGATGACGGCATGTCCGATGCCCCGCACATGCCCACCATTGAATACGTAAGCCACCCACCCTCACTGACCCACCACCTTGCGGCAATTTAACCCTCAACTGATGTTAATTCCTTTGCAGTTATACGGCCCCCCAGGACCGCCGGGACCCATGGGCCCGCCCGGACACAATGGCCTCCAAGGCGAGCGCGGGCTAGACGGCCGCAAGGGCGATCCGGTAAGAGTCCTGTACTGATAACTCATATATAACCCAATCCTAATAACCGGCGAATCTGTGTTTCAGGGTGAAAAGGGCCACAAGGGCGATCAGGGACCCATGGGGCTGCCGGTAAGTGCGAAATCACGGGGTGAATTTTGTCCAGTAACTCTAACCGATTGTAATTGCAGGGCCCCATGGGCATGAGAGGTGAATCAGGTCCGTCGGGACCCGCGGGAAAAGCTGGCATTCCGGTAAGCCATACTTTTGGTAGTTGATGCTGGAAACTTTCATTTTGTTTGGCTTTTAATTTGTGGAAATTAATTTATAACCTATTTGTGGCCTTGGTTGCTTTTGTTATTTAACCCAAAACTGGCTAACCTAATGGAGTGTTCTCGTCTTTCTTTCTTTCTACTTGGAACAGGTGTGGGGCGACTACTAATACTACTAGTTAACAGTGCAGCCAGTCTGCAGTCAGTAATAACCAGCACTCATAGCGCCAAAGTCTCAATGCGACTCAAAAAAAAAATGTCATATACACGCACACCACACTTACACCAATACCAATACCCACACAAACACACCCACACTCACAAAAAAACACCCGTACGAAGAAAGGAAAACAAATTTAATCAAAACCAAACAAATGTTCAAAGTTAGGAAGCCGCGCAACGCTTGTCAAATGGGCTCAGTTATATATATATATATGTTATATATATCTATATGTATGCTGCTGTGGCATATATACATATGTATATCAATTTGTACAAACTCGCACCCATGTACAGAGAATCAAATACGAAATAGCAGCATGTCAGTAGCTCAGAAACGAGAGTAAGCAAATCAATTAATTGCAAACGAACTGCTCCTGCCCCATCCAGCCCGCACGAAATAAAGAATTAATATTCATATCATTTAAAATGCCCCCAAGAGTCAAACAAGTATTTATGTATACAAACAAGTAATGCAAACAAACATATGTCTACACCAAGCGTATTTACAAACATCAATCAATTGAATCAACTAACAAACTTTGAACCTACCCCAGCCCAGTACACACCACCTACCCACACACCCAACAACCCAACACCCCCAAACCAGCCCACAGTTGCAGAGAAGGAAACCCACTAACAAATATGCAATGCAAATATTTTAATTGCATTTCATTCGCCGCTGCTCTCTGTGCGAAGCAATTGCAGCAGGAGCAGAAAAGCCGCTTCGAAATGCATAAATCATACGCACCGTGGTACGTGAAAGTTGCCACACTTTCCCAGTCAGTCTGCGGCGGGTTGCGAATGGCGAATTGTGATTTCGGTTTCGGTTTTTGGGTTTTCAAGTGCCTCCATGCGGGTGCTATCGACTAATTGATGGATTATGCCGGAACCGGGCTGCAATCATTGCCAATTTGCCAAAAGTGACTTAATTACATCGCAATCAGATTATCCTTGACTGCGAACAGTTTGCGAAGAGGATGAAGAAGCCACTTCTTGTTCTGCTCCTGCTGCCATGTCTTAGCATTGTCTTAGGTGCCGTCCAAGGGCTTTGTCTGAATTTTTGAATAGTACTCGTTCTCGTTCAAACAAAGCATAATTGCCAAAGCTTCAATGTGAAACACAAAAGCCCAGAGCAGAAAAAAAACACAAAAACCATAAAAATCATAAGAATATACAAATTAAAACATAAATACCTACGCTCTATTGGATTAAGGAATTGTGCTAATTAAATGAAATTTAAACAATTGTAAGATATTTTGATCTCTTGATGTTCACGAATGCATAATGCAATTATACCTTATACTCGAATATATCACTAACACAAAACAAAGAGCTATCCAAACCAATTGTGCATATTTTCCAAAGTTGAACAATAACTTCCATAGAACACTGGCAGCAGAGTTAGTTAGGCTAAAGTTGAATTCTGTAGGACATAGTGCTGCTGTACTTTCCCACTTTGAATGGAGAATCGAAAATCGTAAATCGGGAGTGACAATGCAAAATATCAACAACAATAAATACATAATCTTACCACGAGTATGTATCCTATTGGTTTCATGGACATCTCAAACAAAGTAACGCTAACAACTCTATTTATACAAAAATCAAATGAAGCATAAATTAACATTTGGCGAGTATCTGGCGGGTTTTAAATACGAGAATGGCGAAAAGGACAAATAAAACAGGCCAAAAATCAAATATAATCAATGCAAATGAAATAATGCCATGGAAATATGATAATAAAAGTATATACTGCTCCATGCGACAGTTACGGGATGCGGGCCGTAAAAATTCAAATGGGAATTATTGAATATGCAAATGGGAAATGGTAATGGTAATGGAAATTGCAATGTTTGCAGCTTTAAAAACTTACTCGTACGGCAAACGGCATCGAAAATCACAAAGAATATGTCAATTTGTTTTCAATTAGATGTGTCTCGTTGTTGTAATAATCCCCAGAATGGAAACCAGAATATACAAACAATTTGCATGTCAATTTTCGTTTAATCCACTAAATGCCAGTGGAGCCAGTCCCCTCCTTTTATCCTACGTGTACATAAGCAAATAATGAAAAAAATGAAAGAAACTTAATCGCTATGAATTAATTATTTCTCTAGCATTTAACGACCTCTCAACGTGTTTACTTAGCGACTTGCTCCTTAAATCCATACTCTGTACTCTCTAGATTCTTTCACTTACTATATGTACTAATTCTCAAACCATTTTCTCTCGAACCATAGGCTAGAATAATAAATTGTGTTTATGCGATTGAAATATATTATTAACCTATAAATACCTATAATTAAAGAGAACGTAAAAAAGGTAAAACCCTTAATAAGCCGCTAACAATAATTGTAAGTGTAAATTTGTTAATTAACCAAAAAAAAACATAAAACCGAAAACGTTCGCAAACGAAAAGTAAACCGTAAAGTATATATACAAATAAAAAAATATATATATATTTACGTGTATTTATGTCTATATACGAGCATATACTAAATGTCGATGTGCGAATGCATTATGCCATCACAAACACGAATATAATATTTTTATCTGTGCTGCCGCGTGCATTCCAAATGTATGTATGATTTTCGAGTAAAATAAAAACGCAGAATGCAGTTCTGATAATTGTTTGCCATAGCATGTGCAAATAGAAATGGCAAACATTCAGACACAGAATTGCGATGCGATCGAATTGTAAAATGGCTAAATGAAACTAACATAATTTTCGTATTAATTATGCATTTTCAATAAAGTGATGGTTTTTTACTAAACAAACACCAAATTGCATTCGAAATGCCCTTCGCGGGTCACTTCATTTTCATGTTTGGAGGCAGAAATTACACTTTCCACCGCTCTGCTAACCACACGCTTTTCCCACTTTCTCTCTCCACGCAACAGGGTCCCCCAGGCTTGGATGGCATGAAGGTATTGTCCCGCCACACCCACTCGATCCCGATGGCAGTGCCGCACTAACCGATCTGTTTGCCTCTTTTATTCGCAGGGCGCCCAGGGCGAGACGGGACACAAGGGAGAACGCGGCGATCCGGGCCTGCCGGTAGGTACCCCCACAGCACTCCCACTCCCACTACATATGTCGTAGAACAGTTGACACCTTTGTAAATCATGTGGTTGCTAATAATTTGTGTATTTTCTCTCTCCTCTTTTACGATTGTTTTTACCTCTGTTTGCATGCGAATCTATATATGTTGGCGTCGTACTCCTGTCCTCTGCACCTATTTTTGAAACCCCCTTGAAACCCTCATCCCCTTGCACCCGAATACCCGTTAAAATACACAGGGCACTGATGGCATTCCCGGGCAGGAGGGGCCCCGCGGGGAACAGGGCTCCAGAGGGGACGCCGGACCCCCCGGCAAGCGGGGTCGCAAAGGAGATCGAGGCGACAAGGGCGAACAGGGCGTGCCCGGCCTGGATGCGCCCTGCCCCTTGGGCGCTGATGGGTTACCGCTGCCCGGCTGCGGATGGCGGCCGCCAAAGGTTAGCATGTGACATACATACGTTTTCCACTAAAAGCCTTCCCATTCAAAATCCATCCGTGCACAGAAAAAAAACTAATAAGGGAATAAATTATATATATAAGATAAAATCTGACTTAATTTTGTATTATTTTATCCCTTCAATGCTTACAACATTTCCAATATTATAAATTTAATAAATTTTTTTCTGTGCACTCTGAAATTGGCTAACGGAAAGTTGATCATTGGCAATATGCATGTGCCACTATGGCCCTTAGGCTAGTATCCTGTTGTTGTCCAAGTTGGTTAACTAACTTTTGCTTTTGCACTTACACACGCACACACACACACACACTAACACTAACTCCAACGAACACCCACGTAACACACCCAAAACAGGAGCCAATCATCTCAACGCCCGTGCACAAGGACTATTTGCCTGATGTTACGCAGCCGGAAAGCAACGCCAGCGATTACGAGGCCGAGGAGGAGGAGGAGGACGAGCAGGCGGAGGATAATGAAAACGAATATGATGAATATCAGGATAATTTGCATAACAATGAGTGAAAAGGAAACAGGCAGCCAACCCAGCAAATGGCAAACACAAACACACACAAAAACAAACAGACCCGGTTTCAAGACACTAAGAACCTCTCACACACGCACACACTGGCACTTGAGTCCGCCATCACACCCACGCTCACCATCAGCCTCATCCTCACTCTCACCCTCACACACACACACCGACACGGGCGACTAGTTAAGCATTTCCGATTTCCGCTGGCAGCTCTGGCTCTGTTTCGCTCTGTTGACATTTGCAATTAGCGTTAACAAATGCCAAGTGGCCCGGCTGCTGCTCCTAACGGTTCACCAAAGTAGATCCTATTAGCATTCTCCATTTCAGTCTTTGTCTGTCGCTGTAACCCGCTCTCACTTTCACTCTCACCCACACTCACATATACACTCACACCAACACGCAAATATTAGCTTAGCTCGGTGATGGATCCTGCTTCTGGTTTTCGCACTATTTCAACACTCCTTTTCTCATCCAACATCTATCTCCGGAACTTCTGTCTCGCCCCTCGCAGGAAAACTGGCAGGCCTGGCTCAAGGACGAGCTAAATGCGCTGCAACATCCGCGCACAAAAAACTAATTGCCAACGCCCCAAACTCCGCGTCTCCAAGGAGGAGGGCGTGGTCGTGGCCCCGCAATATCCAGACGAATATAAACGCTTTGGTTTTAATCTTAGTAACTTGTTATTGTTAAACGTAGACATCGAACGGCATCACGGGCAAATGCCACCCAACTGAGGAACATTTTACGTATACCCCTCCGCAATCTCACCCACATGCATCGGTTAGAATGAGAGACACGCTACCATTAACTTTGTATAATCCACCAGATCCTATGTCTGTATTTGCATCTGTGCCAAATTGCTCCAGGTTGCCAAGGATGGGAGAATTCGGCAACCTTTAATTTTAGTTTTATTTTACCTATTTCTTTATATATATATTGTACCTATCACAGCTACGTCTAAAAATTTCTATAAACATAAGCGAATAAAACGAAAAGAACCCCCAACTATTTTTTACGACAAAACTATTTAAAAAGAAAACTTAAAAATAAAAATCAAGAAAATGTAGTTTTGAATTTTTTCTTAGGAGGATTTTTTAATTGGAACAAAAAGCATAGCATACTTTTCGGTGCACCTTGTGGGCAAGCGAAAAATCTTGGAAAGATGTCTGCCATTGACCAGGATGTTCCGGTCAAATACAAGTTTACTCAGGATGATTGCATTTTTGGTTGTTCCATATATTCAGCTCTATATCTTTTATTGAGATATCTAAGAGTTACCCTGCTCCTTTAGAAGGCAACTGTCAGAACCTTCTTGTTTCGTTTTCCGACCGAGGAGTCGGGATGGGAGAACCTGTTTTAGACCAAACATCAGCTTCTGAATGGAGACAGAAGAATAAGCATTCAATAAAGAAAGTTCTATAGATTGACGTTGAATTTACCCACGTACTTGTTGAAATAGCCAACCTGGAAAATCGCTTTCAGCTTTCCATAAGTTAAGGGCTATCCTCCTTTTATAAATATTCTTCGCTTTAGCCTTATATATTTCAGTCATCTTACATTTTAAATTACACTACGCCTTTAGGAGCTTAAAGTTCTTTACGTATTTGTGAACTGTGTCCTTAACATAGGGCTTGAGGGCAATGCAGGTGGGAATATTCTCCGGCTGCTCAATCCACAACTTGTGCTGGATCTCGTTCTCCTTCAATTTTTCGCTAAGCTTGACCAGAGCCGCCTCGTCTTTGGCCTGTATTATAAAGAGAATATAATAGAGTTATGCTGTTGAATGCTGCTCAGCCACTCACCTCCAGCACCACTTTATGCATGTTTTCCAAGTCGTTCAGGTAAGCCACCGTATCGGAGTCGCCGGCATTCAAGTGCATTACAGCAGTTGCAGCATGGCAGCATTGGGCAATCACCGCTCCCATTGGCCAATTAAGTGCAGATCGTAAGTCGCTGCGTACCACAATATATTGAACGATATTGCTCATGTTTTCAGTAATAATTTACAAAAATTTGCAGTAACTTGCAAAACGTGTCTTATTTACATTAAAGATGGGCAATGTTTTGAGAAAACATCGCACTTATAAATTATGTGTTTTGCAACACTGTATGTTACAATTTCGATTGGTTTGAGTCTTCGCTTCAATTTTCAACCGGGTAAAATAGTTATATTCCATAAAAACTTTAATAAAACACTTAAATTTTTGCCAAAACAAATTATTCTGATTTGGTGTTTTTTGAATAGAAAAATATGTTTCATTCGGTTAACAGTTATATAATAAAGTACCATTTTGTAATCAAAAAACCCAGAAGAGACTTTCCATATTCAAAACATTGCGTAAAACAATAAAGACTTTCACTTATCTCCCGACATCTTAAATTCATAGTACATATATGTGTCAAATCAGAAAATAAAGTTAAATTATTTGAAAAATTTTAAGAAGGAGATTTTTTATAAACATTTTTATGAGGACACCGATAGCACAAATAACCAGCAGATTAAAAATATTTTAAACAATATGTATATCTGCTAAAAAAAAGAACACCTTTAGGCTTAAAGCCTTGCCGGTGCAATACCAAAGTAAAAAATTAAAAAAAAAAAAATTTATTATATACATATTTACTAAAAAATAAGAAAATAAGACCTCATGCGTGGTGGTGACAAAAAAACAATTAGACGAAGAAAAAAACTACTGCAGAAACAAAATTTGTCAAAAAACTTAAAACCAAAAAATAAACAAAAAAAAACCCCAATTTCCGTTTACCAAAGACCTCCAAAAGACTCTAAAGTAAAAAAATTAAATACGAATTTTAATAAAAAGAAATAAACTGAGCTCCGAGCTATTCGGAGTTTGGAAGACGAATGAATAACATCGGCTATTTAATAGACTGGAATGATTGTGAATAATAAAAAAGCCAAAGCCTACTTCATCCTTATAAAACTAAAAATTTATATGCTACCTTATTAAACTTGCAGGGAGTGAAAGGACAAATCTGACCCCTTTTTGGGATGAGAACAACCTTGACTAGAATGGATATGCGGATATATGTATGTACTAAAGTATCTATAGTCGACTATAATACACCAGGTACTCCACTCAAAAATGCACCCTCCGCCCGTATTGAAAAAAAGAGATTTTACTTATTTTTATCGAATATTTCACTAAATTGTTTTGAATAATTCAACAATTCGTATATCAGGTACTCACAGAAAACTCGTAGAGTTTAAAATATATATATTATTGATCAGAATAAACACCTCAGTTAATATATCATGTCCGTTAATCTCAGAGACTTTAATAGATAATGCTATAAGAATTGGATGAAAATTTGGGAAGATATAGCCATCACTGTGGACCCAATAGGGGGAAACACCATTTTTAAGGGGTCCCATCACGAAAAATGGACAAATAATATAAAAAATATTTTGTCTCAGGATTTTGATGCAGAATGGTGGCGAATCGATCCAGAAATCGTTTAAGGTACTCCGCTTGAGAATCGGATGAGAATTGTGGAAGATATAGCCATCACTGTGGACCCAATAGGCGAAAAAACCATTTTTAATGGGTCCCATCACGGAAAATGGACAAAAAATATAAAAAATATTTTGTCTCAGGATTTTGATGCAGAATGGTGGCGAATCGATCCAGAAATCATTTACGGCACTCCGCTTGGGAATTGGGGAAGATATAGCCATCACTGTGGACCCAATAGGCCAAAACACCATTTTTAAGGGGTCCCATCACGAAAAATGGACAAAAAATGTAAAAAATATTTTGTCTTAGGGTTTTGATGCAGAATGGTGGCGAATCGATCCAGAAATCGTTTAAGGTACTCCGCTTGAGAATCGGATGAGAATTGGGGAAGATATAGCCATCACTGTGGACCCAATAGGGGAAAACACCATTTTTAAGGGGTCCCATCACGAAAAATGGACAAAAAGTATAAAAAATATTTTGTCTCAGGGTTTTGATGCAGAATGGTGGCGAATCGATCCAGAAATCGTTTAAGGTACTCCGCTTGAGAATCGGATGAGAATTGGGGAAGATATAGCCATCACTGTGGGCCCAATGGGGGAAAACACCATTTTTAAGGGGTCCCATCACGAAAAATGGACAAAAAATGTAAAAAATATTTTGTCTTAGGGTTTTGATGCAGAATGGTGGCGAATCGATCCAGAAATCGTTTAAGGTACTCCGCTTGAGAATCGGATGAGAATTGGGGAAGATATAGCCATCACTGTGGACCCAATAGGTGAAACACCATTTTTAAGGGGTCCCATCACGAAAAATGGACAAAAAATATAAAAAATAGATACAGTGATGGAAGATATAGCCATCACTGTGGACCCAATAGGGGAAAACACCATTTTTAAGGGGTCCCATCACGAAAAAAGGACAAAAAATATAAAAAATATTTTGTCTCAGGATTTTGATGCAGAATGGTGGCGAATCGATCCAGAAATCGTTTAAGGTACTCCGCTTGAGAATCGGATGAGAATTGGGGAAGATATAGCCATCACTGTGGACCCAATAGGGGAAAACACCATTTTTCTGGGGTCCGAAAAAAGGACAAAAAATATAAAAAATATTTTGTCTCAGGATTTTGATGCAGAATGGTGGCGAATCGATCCAGAAAACGTTTAAGGTACGCTTGAGAATCGAATGAGAATTGGGGAAGATATAGCCATCACTGTGGAAAAATATTAAAAAATATTTTGTCTCAGGATTTTGATGCAGAATGGTGGCGAATCGATCCAGAAAACGTTTAAGGTCCGCTTGAGAATCGAATGAGAATTGGGGAAGATATAGCCATCACTGTGGACCCAATAGGGGAAAACACCATTTTTAAGGGGCTCCATCACGAAAAATGGACAAAAAATATAAAAAATATTTTGTCTCAGGATTTTGATGCAGAATGGTGGCGAATTTTTTTTTTTTTTTTAACGTTTTGAATTTTGAAATTTTATTCTTAAGATTAGCGCACTACTACCAAATTGACAGCTTAATCTAATCGTTTTTTACAATTTTTTTTTTTAAATACTTAGTCTAAGCGTTACTTAGGGCAAGAGGTGATTTAATAGTTTTTTTATTTTAACTTATTTTTATTTATGATTATGTCGAGGGTGACGAAATGGTTAGGTCAAGATCCGGTTTGGTAGGTCTTGAGGGTGGTGTCTTTTTAGTCTTCTCTTGACTCGATTAATTGGATCAGCGCTCCTGATAGCAGCGGTACCAAGTTTTTTAGCTAGGCTTTTGGGGTGCTCATTTAGACGTTCCATGTATTTCCGAGCAAGTTCCTGGAGCTTGTCTCCGATTTCAGGCACGTTGAGATCTCGTTCGATGTCTCTGGTTCGCATAAACCACGGAGCTCCAGAGATCCTTCGAAGAGTTTTCGCTTGCAAAACCCGGATTTTGTTCAGGTTGGTTTTTGCAGCGATGCCATAAACCTGGAGTCCGTAGAAAAGACTTGGCGCTAATATAGACTTGTAAATCTGCACCTTACACCCAAGCGCGAGCTTATTGCGTGGTGTGAGGAGCCAGGACATCCGAGCCACTTTAGTCCTGAAAGAGTTTTGAATACAGGTAATGTGCCTGGCAAAAGTGAGTTTTTTGTCCAAGGTGACACCGAGGTACTTGTATGCAGGAAGGGCTCTGATTGGGTTATCGTTGAGGTTGACTCCTGGGCAGGTACTTCGGCAATTGGTAAAAGTTACATTGGCACATTTGTCTGCGTTTACACGAATGTTCCAGTTCGTGTCCCATTGGTGAAATGCGTCCAGATACTCCTGCAATGCAAAAGTGGCTGCCAAGATACTACTGCTTTTGGTCAGGACAGCCGTGTCATCAGCGTAGGTCGCAATTAGCACGTCTTGTTCAATCACTTCAGTGATTGGAGTTTTTGTAGGCATATCTGAAGCATAGATAGAGTATAGAGAAGGGCCGAGGACGCTACCTTGGGGAACACCAGCAGAGATCGGTTTGGTGGACGACTTGTATCCATCAGCAGATACGTGGAATGTGCGTTCTTCCAGGAAGCTTTTCACGAGCTGGAACAGCTGTGGCGTAAGAAGACTTTTGGCTTTATACAGGAGCCCAGGGTGCCATACTCTGTCAAAAGCCTGCTGAATGTCAAGGAAGGCAGCTACTGCATACTCCTTCTTCTCAATATTTTATTTATATATATATTATATATTATATTTTATCTTTTATAAATATTTTTTAGATTTTTTGTCCAATTTTTGTGATGGGATCCCTAGAAAATGAGGTTTCCCCTATAAGGCCCACAGTCAGGGCCGTAGCTAGCATGGGGCAGGTGGGGCGGTGCCCCAGGGCCCCCGAAGGGAAGGGGCCCCGCCGGGGCAAAAGACTTCCGTATAGGGGGCCCCAAATTTACTTGTTGCCCCAGGGCCCCCGAGGCTCTAGCTACGGCCCTGCCCACAGTGATGGCCATATCTTTTCCAATTCTCATCCGATTCTCAAGCGCAGTACCTTAAACGATTTCTGGAACGATTCTTCACCATTCTGCATCAAAATCCTGAGACAAAATATTTTTTAGATTTTTTGTCCATTTTTTGTGATGGGATCCCTTGAAAATGGGATTTTCCCCTAAATGGTCCACAGGGATGGCCATATCTTTTCCAATTCTCATCCGATTCTCAAGAGGAGTACCTTAAACGATTTCTGGAACGATTCTTCACCATTCTGCATCAAAATCCTGAGTCAAAATACTTTTAGATTTTTTGTCCATTTTTTGTGATGGGATCCCTAGAAAATGAGGTTTCCCCTAAATGGCCCACAGGGATGGCCATATCTTTTCCAATTCTCATCCGATTCTCAAGCGGAGTACCTTAAACGATTTCAGGAACGATTCTTCATCATTCTGCATCAAAATCCTGAGTAAAAATATTTTTAGATTTTTTGTCCATTTTTCGTGATAGGATCCCTTGAAAATGGGATTTTTGCCTATATGGCCACAGTGATGGCTATATCTTTCCCAATTCTCATCCGATTCTCAAGCGGAGTACCTAAAACGATTTCTGGAACGATTCTTCATCATAAAGTGTATTCCAAGTTGAGATATCCATATTTTACCTAAGCAGAAAACACCAACAAAGAATTATTTACCATACCATTATCCGTGTTCACCATTAAATTAAGCTTCCTGAATGAATTAGCATAAATTACGATGCATCAGGAGGTTCTAAGTGCTGCCAACCCCACATCCTTTTTAACTAGTCCATTTCGTCCTTAAATTTGTGAAATTGCTCCGAAACTGTTGATTGTATCGCAGCTGATGACCCCGTCGTCTTCTGCCACTTTCAGAGCCAACCACACCCTGTCCATATTCATAAATCAGTCTAATCGCACGCAAAAGAACAAGGCCAGCAACAAGTTCGTGTTGATATTTTGATTTTATTATTGTAATTTCTTGGAACACTTTACATTTACATTTAAATTTATACGCCATAGATGCGAGGCGATAAACGACGACTACACACACATAAACATTTTGACAATTTAATCGATTTAATTTAGGCCCACATTTTGAAAGGGATCTGGGCGAGATCCTACCTCGTAATTGATATCGTTTCTAAGATATAGTTCGTAGTTCGTAAAGGTACAGAGATGTCGTATTTGGCTCTGTTAGGCTCGTAGCTTTGGTATAGAAAATATAAGTAGGTTACAGGACAGAGTTATCTACTAAATTAAGACATTGAATTGGGCAAACTTGAGATTCTTGGAGAGAAAACAACACTCAACTAACAACGACGGAGCATCAAAATGGCGGAGGTTCCATATTTGAATTCCATCCTGCCATCGATTATATATATAATTTTTATGTTAATTTAATAATAATTTCACTGGTTGCATTCATTGCTTTTGGCTGCTGTCCTATATACTTTCCTTTTGCCTTTAGAATGTGGTCTTGCCAAAAATAAAGTTTCCGGGCGCGTCCACGTCCTCGGCGGCAAAGTACTCCTTCCACAAGGCGGCGAACTGCTCCCGGGTGACATCCGTCTGGCCCTGAGCCATCTTACCGAAGGCCTCCTCGCACTCCGCCTTCTCCACGCCGTAGCTGGAGCACACTAGCGTGAACTCGGTCACGTCAATGCCGCCGTCGTGAGAGGCGTCCTCCAGGTCGAACATAAAGTTCATATAGGCATTCTGCCAATCCATCACGCTGCTAGGGTCCTTGGCATAGGCGTCCCACATGTTGCACCACTCATCGACGCTGACCTACACGAAGAGATAAGAATGGTAGCTTTAATAATATTTCATTTATAAATATGAACTTTTAAACCTATTTCTTAAATATCTGGTACCTAATGTGCTGTCCAGTTTAAAAGAAAAAATGAGGAAAAGGTGACCTAAAACGTGACCCCTATGGTGGTACTTCATATTTTTGTGCATTTTTACGTGTATAATGGCCATAATGGAAGACGGGCCGAGATTACGGGTTAGCGGGCTTATGCCCAGATTTATGCAGTCCGCCCCGTGCTGAAAAGACCATTAGCTGGTAGCGCCGAAGGCGGAGACTCCCCATAAAACATCCCCCTGCCCGTTATGGTCGTTTGGCGGTATAATTTATGTCCGTGCCTCCATCTAGCGATGCGTTATTAACATTTTCAGCGTTCGGTCAATACAGAAACAGGGGCAATTACCGCAACATCGACAACAATCGCCGACGCCTTGACCAACTTGGCTGACCGCCTTCGATGCAGTCCAGCAACGTCCAGTACAGACCCCATCCATTAATCGGGGGCAGCCGTTACGTTTTGGCATGTTTTAATACGGTCATAAATAAGTGTGTGGGTTGTGTCTGACTAGAGCCACTTGTAATGCCAATTGGCATCCGCAGAACCACCCTCCGAAAAACCGAACCGAAGGAACGAACTCTAAACAGCAATTCGAACTAACTGCATATTTTTATGTTTATGGCCGCAAGTGTCGGGCTCTGGGACAGACACTACCCAGCGGGTCTTAGCCCAGATCCTTGACCCTGAATGGAATAGAGATGCGTGGACTGCCCAGTTGCCCGATTGCAGTCCTTGGAGCGACTGCCTCCTTCCAGCTAATTGGAGGCCGTGTCACGGCACGTGCTCTGACTCGGTCGTTTCCGAAAGTGAACAATAAATCTTAAGCTTGCTCCGACAAAAGCAACGTCCCCTTCCCGAGCTCCAACAATAGACAGACTTTGGCATATTTTGGCAGCAAACTCCGTCAAGTTCTTTTGGAACTTGGCCAGTGGCCAGAACTTTTGTGGCTTTCCTGCTTTACCTCATCGAGTGTATGAATGTAGTTGGGCGGAAAATGCGCCCGTAAACCGAAAAGCGTGGCCCTAGACCGTAACCCTAAAACGCGGCCATAGAATTAAGCCGAGGTTTTGTTGGTCTGACATTTCAATTTCGGCTCGCTTTGTATCGCATTGTTGCGGGTTTTGTTGGTCGCAGTAGTTGATATTGAACCCCAATGCGGGTGGAGAGGGATTGGGGAGTGGAAAGGGATTATAATTTAATTTGCTGCACTGGCTGGTGGTGCGATTATCCGAAGGACTTTCGCAGGACTTGCCGTGAGTCTATGACAAAGTTTGTCTTTTTGTAATGAGACAGAGCCATGAGCAGGCGGCCTAGAAAACGAAGTGGGAAGCCCCGGAATTCGGCCGGAATTCGGATTGCATTTCTCGAATAATTCACAATTCAATTTCCGACTGCTGCACTGGCAGGGAATTTGTTTACCCCTCGGCATTCCGCACCAATAAAGAGGGAAATTTATGAACGAATTTTTCTTCCGTTTTTTGCGTTTGCCAGCGCCACCGAAGGACATTGTAATGTTCTTGTGTGTGAGTGTGAATATGAGCGTTAACTGTGACTGTGTGATTGTGGGTGTCCTGCACACTTGTCAGCTGTGCCATCACAATGGCTTCGAAGCACTACTTTTGGCACTGACAATGAAGCCAACCGTTTCAGATTCAGATTCAGTAGGGCAACAAAAAACCTGGACACTTGACAGCCAGTTGCCCTTTTTTTTCGGTTCGAATTTACAACTGGACATGGTGGCGGAGGAGATGGTGGGAGGCAGGTGTGTCACTGTGAGATATAGATGGTTATATAGTTGGGCGCGCCAACTCACCTGCCCGTCGTTATCCTTGTCGGCCTTCGATCGCAGCCCAGTCCAGATTGCCATCATCACGTCGTAGGTCTCCTTGTTCTTCGGCGTGTCCTTCGCCCAGCCGCGCAGCTTGCAAACGCGCTGGAAAAAGTTGAAACAATAACAGTCAGCACATACCTATACATCGACACGAGGGCAGAAAATTGAGTTATCATTTTGACTCGATTGCCAAGGGAAAACTGCATGCAAATCACCAAAAAACATTTCCAGCATTTGAGCACTGTTTTTGTTTTCACTACTGTCGGTTGCCAGTTGATGTAAGTGCTGCATATTTATTGGTGGCATTGCCAGCATTTTTCGCTGGCAACTTGCTCTTTTTCAAAAAATATATACATTCAAATTTTTCGGTGCTTCAGCGCTTCCGCTCCACTTACCTCGATGGCCAGCTCGAAGTCCTTAACGTCGATTTCGCCGCTTTGGTTCACATCTGTTGCCATACGCATTATAGTTGTTGTGTTAGTTGTTGTGTTGGTTTCGGTTTTCGGGCCAATTGAGAGCGGCGCAGTCAGCGTAAATTGTATGTTTTTGTCCCGCATTGTTTGCATTGGTCAGTTCGGGCCAGAAACCAAACAGCAAAGCCCGGAAAACAGGCGAAAAGACGAAAAAGAGCGATGAACAATGTGAGCAGGCTAAACGGATTTCGTGGCAAGCTGGGACCTAGTTCCGGTGGCCAAGCGACCCAACATCAACCAAATTCTACGGCCTAAAGGGATGACCTCCCACGGGGCACAATCACCTCTCCCTCCCCCCCCCCAAACACCACCAAAAAAACACTTGGCTTTCGGCCATGCCGGCGTGTCATTATCATTTGCAACGGTGTGCAAACGGCCACTTCAGTGCCAGTGTCAAGTGCTTGGCGCTTGCGTTTTATGACATTCTTTTTTCCGACTATGCTCTTTTGTTATTGCCTGACCAGCTGCCGTCAAAATACGGGCAAAGAGCCAACTTAGAGGACAAGGAGTGGTAGGATGAGCCAGCCCCCAAGCAACCGCACCGGTGAATTAGTCATAATTGAAAAGCACTTAACCTTTGCACACAGAGCGCACTCCTCGAGTGCTCGACTTAAACTTTCCTTCGGCGGCATTCTCATTCTCATTTGCATTTGCAGTGCGTGTTGTTTTAATTCAATTTTAAATTGCCAAGTTTTATTTGACTTCGAAACACAGTGACATTGGCAGGGCATTAAACATGCAGCGGGAAATGCTCGACGCATTTAAGTGGATTTCGAGCACTTGGCATATTACGTATACGCGATGAAAGCCGCTTGTCTGCACACCGCAGATGGAGATTAAGTCAAGAGCTGCATGCTGATATCGGTGGCACACTTTATGGCTATAAAAGGAAACTCATCGCACTAAACTCTGGGGATCTGAAAATTTGTTTAATCCTTTCGGAAGAGAACCCTTAGACCAATCGGGTGCAATCTAATCAAAGTTTTCTCAGCTCGCCCCAAGCACTTCAGAAAAATGAGCCACAAAAACGCAATTCCCTGCCAATAACTCAGATGCAGACCATAAAATCGACAGCTCGTGCAGCGTTTGTCTTTAGCAACTCCTCTTTCGCAGGACCATCCATCATTTTCCATTATTGCCTGGGAAGGATAAATACTTACCAAAGAATACATTGAACAGGAAGAGCAGCTTCTTTTTGCGGAAATCGGAGATCGACATTGTTGTGTTGTTTTTCTTTATTTCGGGGCGTTTTCCTTATTGTGGTTTTATTGGCTCTCCGCTGGCACGCTGAACGGAAATGGGGAACTGCAATGACAACACAATACATAAAAGCGAAATACACAATTACACAGGGACACTGACATACAGGACGAGAGGTGGCTGGAGGCGGGATGGTAAGGATTCCATGGCATGGCAAATAGTATGAACGAAACAAAAAAAAGGGCAAATGAAGTGTATTCCGAAACGATACTGCGTTTAAATTTAAAGCTCCTCAATTAGGGGTTGTGCAGCTGCCTCGTAAAAATAACATTCAAGGAAACCGAAGCCAACGAAAATACAAAAGCTGACAAAACTAGCTGCTTCAGCTGCTCAGCCAGGAGCAACAGTAGCAACAGAGGCGGGGAATCGGATCGGGTTTGCTCTAGTTGACTGGCTTAGTTTATGCCAGCTAATTCAGGCAAAGGAAATAAAACAAGACTAAGGATGTCTAAGGATGCGAAAGTAGGGGCTGCGCGCAATGCAAATGCATCCCGGAGGAAAGAGGACCAAGACCGAGGAGGAGCGGTGGGCGGGACCTAGTGGCAAGCTAAATGCGACACAAATGCAGGCACTGCCGCGCCCCTATCCGCCCCTGGCTATGTATATGCGTGGCTCATGGCTCATTTAACCTTCAATCAAAAGCTAGATGCAAGGCAGGGCCATGTGCTAAATTAGACAGAACGATGCATACATTGTGGAATGTATCTTGGCAGCAGTAGCAGCGGCAGCGGCAGCGACAGCAGCAAACGCCCTAAACAGGGCCCAAACATCAAAAGACTTGGCTAGGCCATTGCCGGGCCAATGCCAGCCAGTGCTGAAAGCCTTCGTGTTTGCTAACTGCCGCCCAGCGACCCCATCAAAATTACTACTTTTGTGCAAAGTATTTCAAGAGAAAATAAAAAATTGGCACTGCTTAGAGGGGATTTAAAAATTCACAGAATGAATATCAAGGTGAAACTAAAAAGGAAATACTGTTCAAGATTAAAGGTGAAGGCGAGTGTCACTTCAAGACGTACTACTTCAGAAACAGAAAACTCCTAAAAATTTGGTTAGATAAATAGGAAACTCTCTGATGTAGCATAATTTTTATTATGGCATCTCTGCCTCACTTTTGATGGCATTTTTCATGTCGCTACGAAATAGCCATCCCATAAACAGCTTAAATATTTACTTTAGTTTATATTCGGGACGCCACATCCTCTATGCCAACCTTACCGCTCCCACACCCACCGGCTGCCATTTATTCAGCTCAGCTTGAAGCTCGAAGCGTCCAAGGTAGCCAAAGCATAATTTCACAACAGAGGGAAATTGCAGCAAGGAGATGTCAAGTGGAAAGTGGAATGCAATGGACATGACAACGGCAGCGAGGATACCATTGGCCAAGAAAACGCCGATGGCTGATGGAACCAGCGGCGGTAGGAGCAAAGCAGCTCTCGCCCTGCTTCCCGTTTTGGCTAAAATGCAGTTTGTCGAGAAAATTAAATTAAATGGAATATCTCCGAGTCACCAATTGGATATGCTCGAGAGCGGCAAATTGAAAAAAGACAGTATGCATCAGAGGTCGAGCCGAAGAAAGGCTTTTGGACAAAAGCAGGTAAGTGTGTTTATCTTTTACTCGTGCCAATATTATTCCATTATTATTGCAGATGTTCAGCAGCGAGAGGGTATGGGGCTTGTTAATGCCTTTGCTTTCTTTCAAAGCTGCACAAAACTAAATATACAAGGATAAAGTGCATTAAGGTGCGTCCTTCACAGGGCTGCATGACTTTAATGGCAATATGCAAATAATGAACCAAACATAATTGGATTAGGAAATGTTATTGATTAATCTCTGCATAATAATTAGGAAAAACAAAGCCATAAACTTTTGACAGCTGGAATTAAATTTAATAATAACCCTGTTTAAATGAAGTTTAATCGATTAACTTTTCCAATTGGCGGAAACATGCCAACGAAATAAAACATTTCATTTAAAAATATTTGATCATAAAATTAATGATGACAATTATTTTGTACGGACGTATGATTTGCAAGATTAATATTATTAATAATTTGGATTTTGCATTAATGCCCCACAATGTGGCAGTCGCTGTCAACTTCGTTTATCCTTTGAACATACACCTGGGGCAAAACATATAAAACGAACTGTCACAGTTCATTAATTTCCTACGTGCGCGTCAATTAAAATCAGGTGAAATCGGTGAGCGTGTGGGCAATGGGGAAAATACATAAAAAGCGAACGTTTATGTGCAAAAAATAATCCACATATCCCGACTGGATGAAAGCTCGACAAAGGCTCAGAAAAAGTGTGAAATTCAATTTGGCGCACTTTTCATTTCCAATTGCGATTGCAGGTGCGACGGCTGCATTTACGTCCTGTAATGCCAGGACAGCTGTAATTTAAGCCAATGAATCGAAATCGCCTTTCATTGCCACTTGCTGTTGGAGGTGCAAGTGGAAATTGAAAGCTTTTCCCTATCTTATTACGTTAAATCATATAATATTATTAAAAAGAGGATATACTCCATGTTCTATAACTCAAATGCTAGGAATAATGAGCGATCGGCTCAGAAGAAATAATTTAAATGAAATATCACTCATACGCCCCAGTGTACCTCAGCCATGGCACATGTACAAATGGTTAATTTCTGAATTGACACTTTCGAACCAAGCATATTTATTCACGGAATGAATAATTAAATATGCAAGCAAATTGAATTCTGGAATGCAATTCGTTTCCAGCTTTCACTCGGCAAGCACATTACGCATACGCCGCGTGAGCCGCATGTCGCATGCCGCGACTGTTTGGGTTTGTGGCATGGCCATTTATCCCATCGTCGTCCCATTAATTACCAATACCCATGCGCCAGTGCATAAAAGCCACGCGTTGCCAGCCACAAGACTGCCTCGGCTTTTGTGGCACGAGCCAACAGCCACATTAGCCAGCAAACACCGAACGCTCGTTAATTGGGTTCCGCTCGAGATCCATTTGGAACTTTAGTTCCGCTTTTGACGCGTTATACCGCGCGACGAGTTTTTAATAAAGTCAATATGGCTGGCTGTAATGAGTTTCCTCCCAGGGACAATAAATACCCATTCGGTAAAGTTATAAATTTCAATATGAAGACATCAACGTTTTAATTGCAATTTTAGTGGGCCGCAAGATGTGGAGCGGCTTGATTTGATTCCCCAATTTATTGGGCAATCAAATTAGAGAGCTCCCACTTCCACCCCTCTTTTCTGGGTTCAATGGGTCGTTTATCAACACAATTTAATTTGCATAAACTCATTCCTCAATTTTTTTTTGTTCTGTTGATTGTTTGGCTTGCAATGTGTTTATTATGCAAAATCCCAAAACGGGCCAAGGGGCGGAGGACGAAAAATACTCATAAATTATGATAGAATAAAATTCATGGCTTTGGGATAGTTGACAGCTGTAGCAGAGTGCTGAAAAGTATGCTGCATCCTGGCCTGGCCTGCCTGGACCACATGGGCGATTGATCGATCGGAAACTCAATTTGTGAGAAAATTGTAATTGTTTCGATTGCATCGGAATGCAAATCGTAGGCCGCCTAGCTGAATATTTATTTCGTTAGCAGTTTTAAGTTGCTGTCAGCTGCAGCTTAATCCCCAGCTGCCAGAGACCCAATCGCTTTCGCTTCATTTACATTCTCGATTCGAATTGGAGTCCGCCCCCCCGAGTGGGTTTCCCGCTGCAGGGCTCCACGGATCCCCGGCTCCCTTTTTTTTTATCTTTCTTTTTGGGGCGACAGTGGCACAGTTTTCAACCGTCGCTAATTACTTCTGCTCCGCTGTAAATTCGCCGAGCCAATTTAAAATAATAGACAATGCAAGTGGCGTCGTCGTTTGCTCTTTATCTGCTGATGCAGCTCGGGGAATTGTCCACTGGCCGGGCGTACCTTCTGCTTTTGTTGCATTGTCCGGCTGGGCTCGCAGTAATTTTGTGTAATTTGCATTAATTTACATTTAATTTGCGGCCGAAGCCAAGGAGGAGACAATGCGCGGCTGCGGCCTAAGGCCACCGACGCATGCCTGGCCAAACAACACGGCCAAGCCCCGCTGAAGGACGAGGATCCTTCGAGGATGCCTGGCTGTTTGTCTAAAAGTTTTACCACAAACTTGGAGCCGAAGGAGAGCGAACGCCTTCAATGAATTCATTATGCCAGCGAAAGGTGGAGAAGTAAGAATTTTCTTCCAGTTGTTAAATTGTCGAGAGTAGGGCCTCCCCCACCGCCAGCACTGCTTCTTCAGAAAGTATCTGCCCACTTGGCCGAGAGCTCGACTCAAGAAAAACTGGGCCTCTGGTTCCTGTTGAGCCTACCAAGCCCCCCAACCCCGGCCCCACTTTTCCATCACCTGCCCGCCTCCTGGGCACCCCCTCTGCCTGTGGCACCTCTTGTTGTTCTTTTAAGACACTTGTGCTCGTTACTTTTGGCTTGTTCTAGAGCCCGCTTGTTCTTTTGTCGGTTTTTGAAATGTTGAATGTTTTTCAAAAATTTTGCGGCTTGTAACGGAAACTCTCAGCACAAACACTCACACAGACACCAATACCACCAACCACACACAAACTGGCACGTTCACTTTACCGTTAGGCTATGACTTAAAAACTCTGGGTTCTGGGTTCTCAGATTCTGGGGCTCCACTCGGTGCTGGGCTGGGGGCTCGTGTGTTCGGCAACGCGGCTCGCCGTCTTTTGATGCTCGCTGGTACCGAGGCGGCGGCTTTTATACTCCACATCCGTGCCATCCGTCGCAGCCAGCGTCTGCGCCGGCGCCGACGTCGATGCCAGCGCCGTTGCAGGCAGAACTTTGTCTGGGTGCTCCGGGTGCTTTTTGTCATCGTTGGGCTTTATCTTATCGCCGTCGCTACTGTCTCTGCTGTCGGCTCTGCCGCTGCTGCTTAGGTCGCTGCTGCACATGTCAGTGTATGGGCTGCTGGGAGTGTGTCTGTGTGTGGCGAGGTGTTCTATGGTGTGTGTGCAGTTTATTTTTTGGCCACCACGTGCACTGTTACGAGCCGAGGCTTCAGCTCCAGCTACAGCTACAGCTACAACACAGCATCAGCATGCGGCATATTTGGTCATGGGTTTGTTTTGGGATTTGACACTCGCAGAAAACTCCATGCTGAGCGTTCTTGTAAATTCCATTTTATTTCGGTAATTAAATGGAACTTCTTATCATCGGGTGGCCCCACAATGTAAGGCCAAAGGGGTCGAGGCGCCCAAAAAAGAGCGACAAACAAAAAGGGGGGTAAGGTGGATGCCGGCTTTCATAGCTTTGTCACAAAATAGTTCCCTTGATTATACTAAATTCCAAGAAGCACTTTCAAAATTTAGCTTCTCGAGGCTAGCAGACGGTTCTCAGGTCATTTATCACAAAAATTGTCTTCTTTCCTCTAGACTTTCACAAAACAGATGAGAATCTGATAATAGAACATTTTTCCAAAATTATATATTAAGGATATACTTAAAAACCCTTAACCTTATTCGTATACCAAGCTCAGAAAAAGCCTAAATGGATTTTTCAAAAATCATTGCCTACTTTGTGGCATCGTTCCAAGGAAATGCATTTCTCGCTGTGCACCACAACATAACAAATCAAAATGTGCAAATGTTCTGGACAAATTTTTAGCATAGCCTTGACACACACACAATAAACTTGAACACACACACCATCATACCAGCGTACTCACACACACACACACAGAGCCATCCATAGGCTGGCTAAAGTTAATTTGGCCAAAAAGGAAGCGTCTGTCGCTGCTGTCGTTGATGGCGTTGCTGCAGCGTTACCAAAGCAGAAGGACCACTTGGCGGCATAATTTTCGGTGGCGCATTCAATCTTGTCCAAGAACGGACCACCAACCGACAGCGACGGTATGAAAAAGAAGCATTTAAGCCCGACAATTGCCGTCGGTCTGTCCGGCTTTTAATTACACAAAAGCGGCATCAACACACGCTCTCACTACTCGCCGACAAGCTCATGTATTCTCCAGCTGTTAATTGTCAAGTTTCGGCTGAAATGTCGCTGCCAATTTATCAGGCGCCTCAAGACCAGGCCCTGCTCTCTGGCCCACATTCGGTAGCCTGGACCCGCTGTGATGGCTGGCTGAGCTGGCTGAGCTGCTGCTGTGTCCCAGCGGGTGTCGTGCAGCCTGTTTCACTTCCACGATGTTCCCCCAGCAGCTGGTGCTTATTGCAGATGACCGTTTTACCAATGTTTCGTTCCGGTGTGTGTGTTTCGGTGTCCTGCCTCAGTGTCCTGCTTCTGCATCTGTGTCTGTGCCTATGTCTGTCCCTGTGTCTGTGTGCGACGGTGCGTGTTGGAGTAGGCAAATGTTTAAATTTGTGGCCTTTTTACCTGTTTGCTTCTCAAGTGGCCAGGGGCGTTCATATACGGTACGGTACGTCGGTGTACATCGGTGTACGTGTGTGTGTGTGCTTTGTGTGGCGGAGGAAACGGAAGCCGACATTGACACAGTTTGAAATTAACATGAGCCTGGGCCGCCATGCTGAAGACCAACTCAAATCTTGAATGCCTTCTAGCGTTTGGCCCCATTTCTCAGCGTTTAGCTGTCCACCTATTTCATGTTGTTTTTGGTTTTCCATTTCATGTCTGCGTCTTCTATTTTTTTTTCTCATCCCCCATGCCCCCCACCTTCCTCTTTTTTTGGCCCTTTCACATAAGTGCCACCACTAAACGTTTCGTTGTGGTTCCACCAGGGGGAAAGATGGTGCACTGTAAGAAATCTGACCTCTGAAACCTGAATATATAATCAGAAAAAATCGTACTATACTATTCCTTATATCAAAACTGTCTTAAAATTTATTATCTTATAGAATTTTTTGAATAATTAGATAATATTTAAAGTGTATCCATTGCACGGCAAGGGCACATTATTTGGGGAAAGCGGGTCGGCCGCCTACTACGCCCTGGCTCCGGCTCCGGCCCCGACCAGAACCGGCCTCGTCCAACGCACCACCTTCTTCCTGGTCGCCTTTGTGTGGAGGACATGCCGTGCTTGCCACACAGACACATGCACACATTCGACGCTCACCTGCTCAGCAATGGCAACTTGATTAGACCAACATGAAATTAAGTAATTTTGCCGTATTGTTTAGTGTTTCTGCTCTGCGAAAGAAGGCGATGCCGGGCAGGAGCGGAAACGAAAGGACACCACAATGGCGACCGAGAACAAAGAGGGTCTGGGGCTCGGGTCTCGGGCCGGGAGGACAAAAGAAAGCACCAAACAAACCGCATTTAATGAAAACATTTGTATCTCAGCCGAGGATGAGTCTCCGATTTTGGACAACACTGACAGCCGTCTGGAAGATGAAAAATAAAATAGAGAACCATGTGCCCTGAAAATTGCTATAATAATGACATAATGATTCTAGAAATCATATAAAATTCCATTTGCACCCAACAGAGTGCAGGACAAAAAGTTAAGCTTAAAGGAAAGCCAGCAGAAGCCCTTTAGTATTTTATAATAATGGTCGGAATTCTTGGCCTCATTTCGCATGCTGAAAGAAGCTGGTGCATGCAAAATGCATGCGTCATGTGCAACTTCAACCAAATTGCATTTGCCTCTATCTCTATCAGAGCACTGTGCCACCCACAATTCCATTTTGGCATCGCATCGTCCGTCCACTTACGAGTAAATCATCTCATTTAGCATAATCAGAACCGGAAGCAGTAGCAGCAGCAGCAGCAGTAGAAGCTGAAACGAAATGCATTCCCAGATCGTAAATTGCGAGTAAAACAATTTTAGAGCGAGATTGCAAATAATCCGCCAAAAAGCTGAGTTTCTTTTGAAATTCAATTCTCTCGGAATGTACCGGAATGGCCGCTAGCCGAAAGCCCGAGCCGTAGAACCGTAGAGCCACTCTACCCCGTCTAATTGCCACGAGTCTTAGGTTCAGATTCCCGGCCCGGAGAGTCAGTTGCAGATGCCACTGGGCCAGGTGCAGGTTGGGTGTTGCAAATTGCGGCGCACAGGGCAGGCCAGAACAGGTGAGTAAACCGTTAACCCTTCAACGCCCGCCTCCTGCCTCCTGCCTGTTTGGCGCTCCTGTTGCAACTGGGGATTAAATCAGCTTGCCCCTAAAAATAACGCAAGCTTGTCATGCATGGAGGTGGCAGCCCCTAGGTGGGCGTGGCCCTCGTCTGTGTAATTTACTATTATTTTTTAAGCACTTTCCTTTTATGCTCCTGCCACTGCCACATACACAAATTTTTATTGTTTGTTTCATTTGGCATTTTGTTTGTTTTCCACTAGCGTCCTTCCGCTCCTTACCCCGGCTGCTCTTTTTCATTGTCTGAATATAAAAAGGGCAGGGAAGGTGGGGATGAGGATTGGGGATGGGTTGTGGCAGGGTAGGGGGTGGCAGAGACCCCGCAGTTGCACGTGAGAAATTACACATGTCCTCCACTGTTTTCAGCATGTCTGCATGCGATTGCAGCAGGAGTATCTGGATCCCGCTATCTGTATCTGTATCTGTATCTGTGCTCGCATTCGTATCTCAGACTATTTGTTTGTTCTCTCATTCCGTTGTTTGTTTATTTGGTCCTTTCTCGTCCTTTTTTTGGCCAGGAGCTTGTATGTGCTGGCTGCCAGATTTATGTTTTGCCAAACGGAATTTGTCTCGTGTATTTTAGTGGGCGGTGAATGGGTTGGGGAAACCGAAACCCCAGCTTCCAGCATCCTTCCATCGAATTGCAAATTGATGACCCGAGATTTTCGCTGCAGTTGCAGATTTCCTTCAACCAGCCAGCCAGCCAGCCAAATTGAATTTACTGCTTACCGTTGGCTCGATTTGCTTTTGGCGGAATCGCTTGCGTAATTATTTCCACGTGCTTTGAGGGTCATTTCGGAATTATTACATTTCCCACCCGCCGCCAAACAAAGGGCTTACATAAGGCCAGGCCTTTCTTTCAGGCCACTCTTCAGGCCGCATAAAATGAATTTTAATTTGACCCGCCACTCGACCCTCGCCACCCTGCACCACCTACCCATCACCCAGCCATGTCGACAGCCTGAAACTGACCTTCCGACCGAAATTCCAAATTCCGAATTCTTTTTTGTTTACATCCTGGAAGCATTGCAAACAAAATACTAAATAAGAAATTAGAACTCTGTCTCTGACTGCACTCTCAATGCCCTGAAATATTTACGGGGTAGAGCACTATCTTAATATATATCTTAATAAGCATTAAATAAATAAATCTCCGAGTCGCAGTCATCTGATGCTGTCAGCAGTAGATAAAAACTTGAATATAAAGTGAAATTATCATTACTTTAATATCACAAACTAAAGAGATTAGATAAGGGAAATTAAAGAGATTTATAAAGACTTTATAGCATTTATGAAGATCTTAAAATATCAAACAGGGCTAAGACCTGAGTAAATTGCAGCAGTATTATAATCATAAATATTTATTTATGAATTATTGGTAATAAATAGTTGTTTATTATTTATTGAAAAATATAATAAAATTAAAAAATATTTTTATGATTTATTTATAAATTTTCCTGGCAAAGACGATAAAGTAGTAGAGAGATCCTCCCTTCTGGCCAATATAGGCCGCTTTTGGCCAATCCACATATGCAAACACATATGCAAAGTAAATACCAGACAAACGGATGGTATAATAACAATTATTGCCTCGCCGGCCCAATTTTACA